TGGTGCTTCCAGAGCATTCTAAGGATGTTTTGCCCAGTTAGCCTTCTACATAGTTGGCAGGTGTCTGCTGTCTTAACATCTTAAAACATTTTCTTTCATGTGCACCTGGAGTGGAATATGCATCCTGAGCTATAGGTTAATTACAAGTTGTAGTTTTGCTTTTCAGAGTTAAACTGCTGTTTAGGTCATAAAAGACCTAAAGGTTTCAAATGTTAAGCTAAAGGGCTTTTGAACACTTTAGGTTTAGTACTGCCTATTCTTGGCTTCCAGTCAGTACAGGTAGTAGCTGCCAGGCAAGTCCTTCAAGAGAAAGTGTAACAACTACCAGGAGGAAATAACTTGTAGAGATTAAGTTTCTGGCTTTTGAGTTCAACTCTCAGCAACAAGGAAGAAGGTGCTTTACTGAAAGGGATAATGACATTAAGGCTGCTACTACAGTAGTTAAAGGGATTTCCTTCTCTCTTTCCCTCTCCCTGAACATTTTGGAATTTCTTGAAGTAAAGGGTGGCTACAAAATAATTAAAAGAAAAGTTACATTATCTGTTCAAAGCTGTCTTACTCAAAGCAAAGGGGAGGTGAACTTGTATCCTCTGCAGTGGTTTCAGTGGTCATGATCAGATGCTGTACAAGAAAGTACTGACTTAGCTGCAAGTCCTGTGTGGTTTGCACTGCCTTTGCTGAGGGGCTGGGAAGCCTCTGAAGCTCTCATTTTAATGTAGCCTTTGGCTGGGGGGAGCAGAAGGTGCTCAGAAATGTCTTTCTTGTTCAGACAGGTGATCTGCAGCCATGAGCAGCAACGAGTGCTTCAAGTGTGGCCGTACTGGCCACTGGGCCCGGGAGTGCCCCACTGGGATGGGCCGTGGCCGTGGCATGAGGAGCCGTGGCAGAGGTGAGTGGTGGCTGTGCTGTTCTGTTTCTTTGGACAGCAGATCTCCAGTGAGTAAACCAGCCTCTGGGAGACCCGAGTGAAGAAGCTGAGAATCTTAATTGGTGATAAGAACCAGGAAAATTTGCCTCTACCTAAGAGTTTGGCCAGGGGCTCTGAGAGTGAAGCAAACTTGTCAGTTCAGTTTGTGGTTGATTCTTAAAAGTATTTTGAACTTAATACTTACTCCTGGTTTTTTCTTTTACCTATTTCAAGCAGGCTTCCAGTTCATGTCTTCGTCTCTGCCGGATATCTGTTACCGCTGCGGTGAGTCTGGCCATCTTGCCAAGGACTGTGACCTTCAGGAGGATGGTAAGTATCACTAAATATTCCATCTCTTCAGTGCCACAGGCAGAGCTCTGTGGCTGAAGAGAAGGATGCTGGGCTTCCCTGGGAACGAGCTGGGCATGTGCCCTGTTCACAGCACGCTGCCCCTCACGCTACCAAGGTTTTATAGTCTTGTTTGGTATGTTTTTCTTATTGTGGAAGCCTGCTATAACTGCGGTAGAGGTGGCCACATTGCGAAGGACTGCAAGGAGCCCAAGAGGGAGAGGGAGCAGTGCTGCTACAACTGTGGCAAGCCCGGCCACCTGGCCCGCGACTGCGACCACGCAGACGAGCAGAAGTGCTATTCTTGTGGAGAGTTTGGGCACATTCAGAAAGACTGCACCAAAGTGAAATGCTATAGGTAAGGACTGACAGGAGGCAGCTGAGGGATGCACCTCTTGTGCTGGGTGCATCTGTGTCTGGTTTTGGTTAGGAAATACAGTTTGTTTGAACAGTTACCCACTGTTGTTCAGAACTAAGGCTTAAACACTTACTAGCAAGGTGGAGTAGAGATTCCGTGGTGTATCTCTAGATGGCCACCCAGTGCAGGTGTTCGGTCAGTTGAGCTGTGCAGAAAGGGTCGTATCCTTTTGCAGAAGATAGCAGGAGGTACTTGGCTGTAGCAGAGGTAGGCACCATGTGTCTTCTGCCAGAGCTAACAAACCCCAGCTGCACTGCCCAGCTGACTGGCACAGCCAGCCCCTGCAGGAACACACTGAAGATGCTTTGCTTATGGGAACAGTGAATAGAAGTGGGTGTTAAATTGGTTTGAAATGCCATCTTCAGAGCGTTGTCTGGTTTTGAATGCAGGCATATACCAGAAACAGCACGTTCCTGAGAGCAGGATTCTTCACCCCCACCAACATTCCCTTCTGTGGAGGAAGGAGAGAGAACATGGTGTATTTGAGTTAAAACTAATTATTCTCAAAACAAGGCTAAACTGCAATAATAAGATTGGGAACAGGCAAAACGCAGGACACAATTGGAAGAAGCCCTGCAAACACACAAAGCTGATGAACCATGGTTCTGGCATATACAGTGATTAATGTGAGTTGATCATTTGGGGGCAGTTCATGGCTCTGAAGACAAACTTGCTTCATGTCAGAGAATTCTGCGACAGAAGCCTTGAGTGCAGAATTAGCATTGCATGAAAATGAAGTAGACAATGTCCTGGTCAGAGTAGGATTGCTCCTGTGAGTGTTGTGGCTGTTCTGATGTGAATGTTGTGGCTGTTCTGACAGAAGCCTCGCTTTTGCAGGTGTGGTGAAACTGGCCATGTAGCCATCAACTGCAGCAAGACCAGCGAAGTCAACTGCTACCGCTGCGGCGAGTCAGGGCACCTTGCACGGGAATGCACAATTGAAGCTACAGCCTAATTATTTTCCTTTGTCGCCCCTCCTTTTTCTGATTGATGGTTGTATTATTTTTCTCTGAATCCTCTTCACTGGCCAAAGGTTGGCAGATAGAGGCTACTCCCAGGCCAGTGAGCTTTACTTGCCGTGTAAAAGGAGGAAAGGGGTGGAAAAATCAACTTTCTGCATTTAACTACAAAAATGTTTATGTTTAGTTTGGTAGAGGTGTTATGTATAATGCTTTGTTAAAGAACCCCCTTTCCGTGCCACTGGTGAATAGGGATTGATGAGTGGGAAGAGTTGAGTCAGACCAGCAAAAACCCTCTCTGGGTTACAGGGAAGTGATCCTATGCAGGAGGAATGAAATTCTGGAAGTGTCTAAACTTCCTCATAACTTTTATTTTATTACAATGGCCTTGGATTGTCTGACCTCAATAGCTGTTAACACCAAGTGATATCTGCATCAGGCCCTACCTAGAGCATATAGCTGAGTGGGAGTAAACAAACAAGATGCACATGCCTGTTAATGGCCATGAGAGAGAGAGAGAAATCTAAAAGTAACAGTAATTCAGTCAGTGAATGTTAATGTTGGAGATACAGAACGCAATGGGAAGCTTTTGAATAAATATCTCAAAGTCAATCTGAAACCCAGACATCAGTGCTCATAGCATAAACAATTTGGAGCTATTCAGGAGTTGCAAATAAATGCATTTTCACAGAAATCAAGATGTTATTTTTGTATACTATATTCACTTAGACAACTGAGTTTCATTTGCTTGTAATCGGTTTTTAAAGTAAGATGGTAAGAGCAATTGAAGTCCTAGAACATAGAAAATGTAATTTTAAACTATCAATAAAGCTGGAGGAGGAAGGGGAGTTTGGCTAAAGTTCCTTTTGTTTATTTTTGGTTTTCCTGTACACAGTGCAAAACAACATATTAAAAGGGGTATGTGGAGGTTCAGCTTGGCCTTTTCTTTTCTACTGTCTCATGTCAAGGTCCTGTCCGCACACGTTCTTGGGAGTGGGGGCTGGATGGGGGCTGGTTGGATCTGTGCTGGTGCACTTCAAGCATTTAGTGGAAAAACCATTAAAGGAGGATGTTGCTGGAGGTGCAGAGAGTTCCAGACTCTGAGTAGGTCAGAGCAGTGTTTGAGCTGTCACAGTGGCACTGAGAACGTAAGCCACCTGCACTTGCCCTGTCCCGTGGAGGCTGTGCTGGTTCACTGGGGCTCGGTGACCAGCTGAGAAGGGAAGCTGATAAAGAGAGGATCTTCACATGCCCTCGGTAAATAAAGTCTTGGTGTGCAGGAACTCTTGGCTGACCAGTGCTTCACCCTAAGGCAGCTGGAGAAGGGGTGTGCTAACACCCGGTGTGAAGACTGGGCTTGGCCCGGAGTGCCTCTGAGCTGCTGGCTGTGCTCCAGCTCGGGCACATCCTGTGGAATCTGAGTTGGGGCAGGGGCGGTGTGCTGGACTCGTGTTTGAATTGTCACTCTGAAGGTTTTCCTTTCCAGTGCCAAAGGCTGTGGGTGCTGTAGCAGTGAGAAAGGGGCTGTGGTGTCTGTCCCTACAGGAGCAGTACCAGACTGGCATCTGCAGCTGTGCTGGAGACAGCTGAACTGGCACTGGCACTTTTATCTCTTTATCATTGCGGCTACTGTCAGGGTAACATGCCTGGTAATTTAGGAAGCAGGGATGAAATGGCTGGGTTCTCCTGGGGTAGTGCAGATGCACAGCACATGGTGGTTCAGCCTGCTAGGTTGGGACAAATTAAGTCTTTGCACACAATTACCTTAGTTAAACAGCAGTAAAGTTTGGACCTCTCTGATTACAAAGACTTGGAAGACTTTGGGACTTAAATGACAACTACAAAGTGGTGTTTTCCTCTAGAAATCTATATTTTTATACAAAAAAACCAAGATTTAAAAGCTGAGGAACACAAAGCAGGCTGTAAGTTCCAGAAATAGAAAATTACTTCAAAAGGAGATGTCTCTTCCTTAGTCATCTTTCTGTGAGAACATTGGTGCTGCTGTTCAGTCAGTTTTCCCCAAGTTAACAGGAGCTGGACAAGCAAGTGGTGATTTCATACATTGTGGGACATGGGAAAAATAAATTCTTTGTATGTTTCATGTTGATATTTTTCACTAATACTGAGATATCTCCTTATTTGTTACGGCAAACTCATGAAGTGGTTAGAGAATGACTGTTCATCGGGAACTGAGTGACCGGACATGGGGCAATGGGTACAAACGGAAGGAAGGGAAATAAAGATCGGGTGTTGGAAGGAGCTTCTTTACATGTAAGGGTGGGGAGGCCCCTGGATCCCTGGCAGTGTCCCAGGCCAGGCTGGACGGGACTGGGAGCAGCCCGGGACAGCCGTGCCGTGGCAGGGGTGGCACTGCAGTGTCCCCAAGGTCGCCCCGCTCCCGAGCCCCCCCGTTCATCCCAGCGGGGCCCCGCCAACACCAGCAGCGCGCATGCGCCGCGCGGGGTCACCGAATGCTGCGCGAGCGGAGCGCGCAGGCGCACTGGGGAGCGGGGCCGGGTTCAGTTCCGGGGTGTGGGACTGCTGTGAGTACAGCGCGTTCGGCGGGACTGCGGAGCTGAGGGCACGGCGGGACCATGGTGAGTGCGGGAATGGGGCTGAGGGCACGGCGGGACCATGGTGGCCGAGGGGCCGCTCGGCGCTCGTCCCCTGGTGCCGCTGCCCGGCGAGGGGCTCGGAGGGGACCGGCCGCAGGCCGGAGCGCTGGAGGCGAGGAGCCGGCCGGGGCCGGGGGTGCCTGAGGCCGCTCTGTTTGTGTCTTGCAGGCTCGCAACGCGGAGAAGGCCATGTGAGTGCGGCAGGGGCACTGCTGAGCCCGGGCTCACCTCAGCTGAGGCTGCTGCCGGAGCTGGTCTCACACATCCGTGGCTGCTGGCCCTGACTGTACCTGATCTCACACACCTGTGCCTGCTGGCCCATAGAACACACATCTGTACTGGCTGCCCACAGAACTCGCTGTTCAGCCTCTTTTAAAGGACCACCAGTTTAATGATATTTTGGGGTACTCAGTTGTGCGTGTGCTGGCCCAGAGGCAGTGGGAGTTGGAGGGCCCCTGCACACACATACCTGGTGCTGTGCAGCTCCTGTAGCTGTGCTGGGTGGTTCTGTGCAGGAGAGACCCTGTAGCAGTGTGCTTGTCCCCCTGCAGTCTGGGGGATGTGTACACTGAAACGTGTTGTAAAGGACCCTTGTGGTTTTAGGCAGTTCCCATTTTGGGAACAGAGATGCCAGGCCAGATAGGAGAAATCAGTCAGCATTGCTTTACTTGAGAAATGAACCACTGAGGATTTTGAGTGTTGAGAAGTCATTAGCTGGAAGAGCTGGAGGTGGTCAGTGGATGTTCATTCAGGCCTTTGTTTTCTGCAGACTGTAATTGAGTCCATAATAAACATCCAGAACAAAACTTGTTCCTGTTGGACTGTGGATTTTTGAAATTAAATCTGCTTTCTTCTCTTTAGGACGGCCTTGGCAAGATTTCGGCAAGCCCAGCTTGAGGAAGGAAAAGTCAAGGTGAGGTGTAAAAGCCCTTAGAGGTTTGGTAGTTCAAGGGAGGCCTTGTTCAGAGCCCAGGTGTCCTGTGCTTGACTCCAGTTGGAAGGAAAATATTTCAGCTGACTGTATATCACACTCACACAGCCAGGAAAACTCTCCACTAGAGTTTCTCCAAACATTTTTTACTTTTCTGTTTCATATTGTATGTTATGCAGAGAAAGGGGTTTTAATACCTTTTAATAAAAGGTGGAGCTTTTAGTAAAAAGGTAGAGCCTTTTAATAAAAGGTAAAACTGTGGGGAAAGGAACAAAATAACTGCACACAAAACCCTAGAAACAAGATGATGCATTAGTTTGTGTAAGCAAGCCAATGGAATGAAAAGAAGGTACTCTGTATAAACTGGAAAAAATTACATAGTTTAGTGGTAGCAGTTGAGAAAAGCTTAGCCTTAAGAAGGTGGTGTGTGCTGGAAATGGTGAAACTGTCCTGAATGGAACATTTGTTGTATTGGAGAGGATTATGGAGTGAGAGATTTTGGATTGGATAAAGTGGATTTAAGTAGGTTTTTGTAGTCTGCGACAGTTTGTCAGGGCTGTAAATCATTATTGTTCATCACTTACTAGAAATCCATGGGAGCAGAAGGCCCTGGAGCTTGGTAGCATAATTTGGCATTAATGGAGCAGTAAAGCCTGTGTGAAATGCTGTGTGTCAGTGCTCAGCTGGATTTGATGTGTGTGGTTTTCTGTCCAACAGGAGCGAAGGCCCTTCCTTGCATCAGAGTGTAATGAGCTACCCAAAGCTGAGAAATGGAGGAGACAGGTAACGGCGACCCGTGGATTTTCTAATTCTATAGGAAGCAGAGCTTTACACTTCCTGCTTAGACAGCCTGCTTACAAGGGGTTTCCCCCACTTGTCAGTACCCTGACAGTGAAATCACAGAATATTTTCTAAGATTGTACAGCTCAGTGTTCAGAGTAGCTCCTACCATGTCAGGTTGCTGCAAGGCCATGTCCTGCTGAGTCTTTCATATCTTCAGGGATTTGAATTCCAGGATTCCAGGTTTTTGGGGCTGCTGTTCCAGTGTTTGATTATCTTCCTAATGATTTATTTCCCCTTGAAATTAATCAGAATTTCTCCAGTTTCAACATGTGTTTCATTGCTACTTGTCCTATTGCCATGCATTTCTCAAACAATCTGGCTCTGTCTCCTTTGTTCCCTCCACTGATGTAGAAATTAATTTCGATGTTCTTATTTGACTAGATCATTGGGGAGATTTCCAAGAAAGTGGCACAGATCCAAAATGGTAAGGTTTTTCTAACTATGTTTTATTTTTTGAATATCCAGTTATAAGCAATTACAGTAAAAATCCCATTTCATGTGAACTATGCTGTTTCCATTGCATTTATTCTGAAATTCCTCTGGTGTCTCTCTGAGCTGCCTGATTTTTTGGTTTTTTTCCTCTCTAACAGCTGGATTGGGTGAATTCAGAATTCGGGACCTGAATGATGAAATCAACAAACTTCTGAGGGAGAAAGGACACTGGGAATACCGAATAAAGGAGTTGGGAGGCCCAGATTATGCTGTAAGTGTGGAATGTGTTGTACTGCATGGTGGTTCTGCTTACAAGTGAAGTAACTGCAGGGAAAAATACATAACATTTAGTTAGCCATGGATGGCTTGGCCAGAGTTATTTTTATTCAGCCCCTAAAATGTTTGGCTGTGTTAGAAGAAAGTTTTAAACTGTGAACTGTTTATTTTTCAGAGGATTGGCCCAAAAATGTTAGATCATGAAGGGAAAGAGGTTCCAGGAAACAGAGGCTACAAATACTTTGGAGCTGCAAAGGATTTGCCAGGAGTTAGAGAGCTTTTTGAAAAGGAACGTAAGTAAAGAGCAGCTCTTCTTAGACATGAACCTGTGTAGTAGAATATCTTGAGTAAAATGCTGTTGTAGTTTGTGGGGAGTGCTGGTAACAGCATTTCTGAAAGTCTTAGGTCAGCTCAGTGAAACACTGAGCACAGATAATTAATTAAATGCTAAGAGCACCTTTGGCTTTTTGCAATTAAGGAAATACAGTAAAGAGTAAACTGGTTTCTACTGGGAATTCCAAATGGTAAGGACTGATGGCCTATAAGAACTTTCTGGCATAAGAGCAAACTTTATTGAGAAGTTGTAAATGTTACTCAGAGTTCGGGACTAGAAAAAGGGAAAGTTGGTTTGAACATAATTTTAGAAGCACGAATGAGTTTTCATAGTGAAAAACTGGATGTAAGGGGGTTTGTCATGGAATGAGTGGAAATTGTTTGTGCCTGAAAGTGAGGCAAAGACAAATTATGGGAAGTACTCCAGGGTGTAGGGGAACCATTGGGTCATGTACTGGAACTGGTTTGTGCAGGCAAGAGGGTGACACCAGTGCTCCCAGTGCTGGCAGCAGCTCCATCATGCTGGGTGCTGGCTGCACGAGGCAGCTGTGGGTGCTGTGAGGCTGGGGACAAGCTGGGGGCACTCAGCAGGTGATGGAGGTGACCTGGTGGGTGACAGTGGTGTTTTTGCAGCCCTGCCACCCCCACGGAAGACTCGGGCTGAGCTTATGAAGGACATCGATGCCGAGTACTATGGCTACAGGGATGAAGATGATGGGATTCTGGAGCCCCTGGAGCAGGAGCATGAGAAGAAAGGTACGCGAGATTCCAAACCTGCACGGAGCAGCCCAGGAAGGGGTGGTGATGGACTCTGAAGTTAAGGCACCTTTTTTAACTGATGTAGAGGATTTAGGCAAGAAGTTTAGGTCCATTGGAAGAGCTCTGGCAATAAGACCATGCTGCTCTGACTGGCTTTCAGCCACACTTGCCATTTTCCTTTGCTCCCCAGTTATAGCAGAAGCAGTGGAAAAATGGAAGATGGAGAGAGAAGCACGACTTGCAAGAGGCGAGGAGGAAGAGGAAGAAAACATCTATGCTGTCCACGAGGAAGAGGTAGGGGGTAGCTCAGGTGATGTGACTTTTCATGTGTCTTCTGTGCTTCCCTCTTAGACATGGCATTACTCTGCCAAGGACCTGTCTGCTGCTGTCCTGGCCCTCTCCCCACCTGGCCCACTACACAGTTTAGTAAGAATCAGTAGTAGGGGAGTGCTCCTGGCCCAAGCTTAGGGAGTGCTGGAGGCTGGCAGGTGAGGCCAGACCTTTCACTGCAGTGAGAAACACCTTGCTGTGATTTCAGTGGCACTGTTTTTGTCAGGTGGTGTGTTGGTAACACGGCTCAGTCTGGCTCCTGAGCATAACCTGCCTCAGTAACAGCACAAGCAGCTTTGGAGACAGGATAATGTCACACTGCCACTGTGTGAAAACCCAAGGGGTGCAGGGCCTTGTTTACACTTGGATCATGATGCAGCAGGGCTTTGCTGGTGCTGCTGTCACTGCTGTGGCATGGCTGTTTCTTCTCCCTGCTCCCAGTGAGACCTAGAGAAGGGTACTAGAAACAAGTTCTCATTTCTCTGTCTGTGTCTAAGTGGGTTAAGCACAAGAATAAAAAGGGGGAATCCATCAGATGCATCTGGTGGCTCCTCCAGTACCTATTTTATTTGTATGATCCCATGGTTCATGAGCCCAGCTCTTAGGTGTGGGATCAAAGCAGTACAGAGCTGTACAGGGAAGTGGTATCCATATTTTTAAAGCACTTGCTGTCTTCTTGTTTAGCTGGCTCCTCTTCTGTTCACAGCTTTGCTGTGGCAGCCAGAGTTATGGAAGGGGAGGAAATAGAACTTGACATTCATGGCCATGCCACAGCAGAGCAAAGGCCATATGAGAAATGGAAGCAGTAATGCTGAAAATGTCCAAGAGCAGGGTCTGCATGTGATCTTTGTGTTTGGTGCTGGGTCCTGTTCACTCATTGCTGTGTTTGTAGTGTTGACCATGCTTTGTTCCTTCTGGCAAAGAAAATGAAAAAGGGCTTTTTATGACCTCTATAGAAAATAAACTTGATCTGATTTTTTTGCTTTTCAGTCTGATGAGGAAGGTGGCAAGGAGAGAGAAGGTGAAGACGGCCAACAGAAATTTATTGCACATGTTCCAGTGCCAACTCAACAGGAGGTAGGGCAGAACAGCACTCAGCTGCAGAGATACACACTGGCTTTTGCAAGACAAATCTTCATTTACATCAGGTCATCAGTAAAAGTGCCCTAAACTTGTGATTTCTGTGGCTTGACTCTGCAGCTGTTTAATCCCCTTGCAAATCTGTAACACTCTTCACCTGTGAATTTCCAAAACCTCCCTAAGGATTCCATAAATTAGCAAGTGTTGTGGTATAGCTGAGCAGCTGAGTTTTCAGCATCTCAACTGAGCTGAATCCACCCTGTTTTTATCCCTGCAGATTGAGGAAGCTCTTGTACGAAGAAAGAAGATGGAGCTGCTCCAGAAGTACGCCAGTGAAACCCTCCTGGCACAGAGCGAGGAGGCGAAGACGCTGCTAGGATTGTAACATGCACCAGTGTCCTGGTTTGTGTGTAATCCCTCTGAAAGCAGCAGGTTCCTAAGTTCTGGTAGCAATGGCTTTTAGCTCTGGAAGTTCCTTCGGATGTGGAGCAGACTGCTGGAGTTACAGTGTGGTGTGCAGGAGAACCATCCTTCTGGTTTCTCCGCTAGGATGACTTGTGCTCCAGCGCTGGAAAGGGTCAAACCTTGGTGAACTTGTCTGTGCATCTGGCAGCTGTCTTCAATGCTTTCAGTTTGGGAAAGGCTCTGTGCAGTGGGGCCTCCTACAGATAGAACCACACGCAGTGAGCTCCTAAATCCCTGGTGTTCCTGCCATCCTGTCTGCTCTGTCCTGACTGTAAGTGTGCACATCTTCTCATGCTGGCTATTGTTGAGCTGAGAAGTAACTCACACTATTACACCTGCTTAGTTTACCAGAATAATCTGGAACCTGTCTAGAGGTGCCTTGAAGGCAGATCTTAGGAGTGACTTTGGAGATTTGATTCTTTCTAAAACACATGCAACGTCTAAAACCTGTTACCTTTTTTGTGGTTTGTAACTGTGCCCAGATGAATTTCTTAAATGCTGGATATTCCAGCAGCTACTGTAAAAAACTTTGCAATACCTTGTTCAAATATTTTTATTAAAACTTATTTACAACCTGGTGTCTGTTTTATTCTAGCTCAAAGGACTGTGATGATTCCCTAGTGGTAGCCAAAGACTGGGATCATAGACAGCCATCCCTGTAGGAATTTGAGGCTCTGCATCCCCTACTGCTCTTGGCTTGTGAATCCTGGGACAGGAGGCAAGGTAGAGCCTGGTCAAAGTCTTATGGACTAATACTGTTGTACACCTCTGAAAGAATGGCATTTGAAGGTGGACATCTGCAGCCCTGGAGAATTTCTGTCTAAGGAACAGAGTATTGAACAGCCAAGTCTGGGACTGTTCAGCATTTCCAGATGCTCTCAGTATTTACCTATTGCAGTCTATTGTGAATAAGCCACTCCAGAACAATCAAAGCTCTAAATTATAGAGACAAGCTTTGTGTTACTTGATGAAGTGATCAAACAAACAAACAAAAAAAAAAATAGAATTGAAAAAGTGGAAAGCATAGCTGCTAAATTAAAACCTAAAAAAAAAAAAAAAAAAAAAAACCAGAATAAATTAAAAGCTCAATTACTGGTAGCAAGCAGACAACTAAGATCAAAAAACACATTCTTCTCTCTTCTGGCAGCAGTGCAGCTTTCTCTGCATTGTAAGAAAGCAGCAAACAATGTCTTTATGGCTTATAATAATTTGTTGTAGATTTGCTTAAATATACTGGAGATAACCAAACTAGATTTAAGCAAGGAAAAACCAGCTAATTCTTATGGCCTGATACAGTCCGAGGGCTTGCTAATACAATGGTAGATCCCTTCTGTCACTGTATGAATCTGTGACACACAAGGGTGAAGGCAGATCAGGGACAGAGTGATCATAACGCAAATACAAAAGAAGAATAAATGGAAAGAATGGAAAAAAACCAACAGGATTGTAATTACATTCATGTTCAAAGGAGTATGACCAACATCATGGTGTAAAAGGCACGTTTATGAGACAGGGCTGATCTCTGCCAACCCACACAGAAAAGGAATAATGCACAGAACTGCAGTGTGTAACTGCAAGGCAGACTGGCTGCTGCCGGGCCCTGCTGTGCCAGGTCCTCTCGCTGTAGCTCTGAGTGTGGAGCATTTTTGAGCTGAGTGCTCTTGGCTGCATCTGAGGGAACAAATTGCAGAGTAATTATTTCCCACAGTGGCCTACAGCAAAATCCTGTGTCCTGCCAGGCTGTGGAATTGCTGGTGGAGTCAGGGTGGGGAAGCTGCTGTGGTCATAGCCGGGAAATGGATCCTGTTTGTCCTGGAGAATGGAGCAGTGGGCAGGCTCTGCCTCAGCTCTGAGTGCAGCTGTGCTGGGATGTGTTGTGGTGCCAGGCTTATGGCTCATTCCATCTCTGGAATGCCTCAGCCCTGAACACATCCAGCTTATAAAACAAGTACTTTATGTATTCTTCTGCCCTTTGTGTGATCCTGGCTTGAGCAAGGGGATAAACTCTCTAATTGTTCTGTCTGCTGCATCGATTTGGGCCTGCTTTTGTCTCTTAGAAATGAATTTGTATGTTTCATTTAATGCCAGCCACGTCAGTGGTGCAGATGGAAGGCCATCTTCCTTGTTCTGTGTCCTGGTGAGTGCAGTGCAGTCGCTGAAGGATCAGTTTCTCCTCGCAGTCACAGGGGGCTGAGGAATATTTGTTGGCAGCACTGGGAAATAAGTGGATTTACCTAATCTGCATTAACAGATGAGCAAGATAAACAGAGACAGCTTTGCAGAGTATCCATTAACTAATGACATTTTGTGCTGCTTGTCTCAAGTGTCCCTGCAGTTTCAAGTCTAGCTGCAGGGGTGCAGAGCTGAGGGACTGTAGTGTTTGTGCGTGTTACGCTTTTTCCCAACAAATGAATCACAGAATGGGTAAGCCTGGAAGGGACCACTGTGGGGCGTCTGCTCCAACGTCCCTGCTCCAGCAGGGCCATCCCAGACCACAGGGCACAGGATTTGTCCAGACGCTTCTGCGGTAGCTCCAGTGAGACAGCTCCACACCCTCTCTGGACAATCTGTTCCAGTGCTCAGTTACTGCACAGGGAAGAAGTTCTTCCTGGGCATCAGTTCCTGCCCGTTCCTCGTGTCCAAATGCTTGGCACCACCAAGCAGAGCCTGCTCCATCCTCTTGGCTTCCCTCTCAGGCCGGACATGCCCAGCTCCCTCAGCCTTTCCTCGGAAGAGAGATGCCCCAGTCCCTTCATCCCTTGGCCGGGCAGCAGCAGACAAAATGTTTCTTCCGATCTGTTACTAAATTGAGCACTAGTTATCTCCTCGCTCGGAATGTTGTACTCGCTGCTCTTCGCGCTGCTGCCGGCCGCGGTGCGCCGGGGGCCGGCCGGGCGCGGAGCCCCCGCCAGGCGCGGGAGATGTCGCAGGGCGCTCCCCCGCCGGCCCGGGGCTGACGCTGGCCCGTGACGCGTGTGACGCTGCCCGTGAGCTCACGGCGGGCCGGGCGGGGCGCTTGCCGGCCCCGCACTCCGCTCGCCATGCGCCGGGGGCGGAGCGGGCACAGCGCGGTGAGCGGGGCCGGGGCCCGGGGCGGGCGGGCCGGGGAACAGCGAAAGCGAAACGGGCGGGGGAGCGGCGGAGCGCAGCCGGGCCACCCGCCGTGCCCGGGGCCGGGGATGCCCGGGGACATCCTCGCTTCCCCGGGACGGATTCCCGAGCACTGCCGGCCGCAGCTCCTGTCCTGGGGCTGCGTGTGCTCTGGTCTTACAGAACGAACGAGGGAAACTCGTTCCGACCACTGCCGGCTCTGTCCCTTTGGTTGTGCGGCGCGGCACAGCACTCCTGTCACCAACAGTTTCTTTAGGGTCAAAAGGGAAACAAAGCTGTTGGCATCATTACCTCTAGCTATGTGTCATGATAGCTATCATATATATATGTTCAGTTCTTTCCTTAATGCTTTTCCCCCCTTTAGTACTTTATTTTTCTTCCTGCTAGTGTTACTCACTGTAAAACTCCCATTTGTAATCTGTTATCTATACATCTGTTCTTTATATGTCGCAAAATTAACGTAAAGGATCGCATCTGCTACAAAATCATTCCAATACCACTGTAGTTTCAGCAGTTTCATGTACCCATTCGCAAAGCCTGGGAAAACTGTTAGATATTTATTAGCAAGCCTTTGGCAGCATCTCTGCAGCAGCTGGGTTATTTCTGATGTAGCTTTCCTGAAACGGGCGCTGGCTGTGTGGAGACAAGGACTTCGGGGGTTTTGTTCTCAAAAGGGTGATGATTCTACAGAGGAGACAGGACAAGGCTTCAGGGGCAGTTCTTGCATGTAAAGACAAAAACCCAGCCTCATTTAAATGAATGGGAATGCAATATATTTACAGTGTTGACGTTACTAACTCGGGCTGCCTAGGGGTGTGGATTTCCCCTGTTGTTTGAGCTGCATCCCCATTCCCAGCAGTGCCTGGCCCTGCGCTGTGCTCGGCTGCAGGAAAAATGTGGTGGGTGAATAACTGATGTGGAACAAAGTGCTGTGTGAGTAGGCAAAGTGCCCTTCTCCTCCTGCCCAGGAGACACGGTGGCCGCGGGTGCGTGCCCTGAGACAGCTCCGCTGGCAAAGGCCGTCCCACCTGCCGTGGCTGCAGTCCTTTCTGTGCCTGACCCCCGCATCGCGCTCAGCCTCGGCCCCGACCCCTCCCTTTCCATCACTGACAATAAATCCCAAGGTTCCTGCTTTAGGCTCGGGAGAGAAATGAGCTTTAGATGACAGGTTTTGTTCCGTGCTTTTCCAGCCTGATTCAGTAACAGTTTCATTGCTCAGCAGTCCTCTCTCTGTCTCTGCTCATCCTTCCTCACTCTCCTTGCTGGGGCTCACCAGGTCCAGCTCCTCGCTGCCTCAAAGGCAGCAAGGAGATACATTTTAGTAACTCAGCATCGCCTTGGTGTAAGGAGGTGCTGACTTTCCCAATTAGCCTGCCCTATGTGAAACTAGGACTGAAGCCATTGTAGGAGCACAGCAGTCACTTGGCTGTAATCAAACTCTTGTGGAACAGAACAGTTTTACTACAAACACCTTGTAAGGAAGCAGCCAAGTACAATAGTGGTGTTCAAGACCTGCCTACTACTGAAAAATTTACTTTAGCATATTTTGTTAATATTCTGTGGGGGTCAAGCCATTAAGGTGTGACTCACTGGCACAGCAGCATGTATTTTGTACCTCTTGGCATCAGTTTAAATTAATTTTTCCCTATCTTCTGAAATAGTCTGGAACTATTTGTAAGGCAAAATAGCTCTCATGAGTCTGTATGCATAAGGCAGAGGGAGTTGTGGTGCTCCTTGTGTCAGCATGTATTTAGCATGAAGACGTGCCTATACGGCACATTAAGATGTGCAGGGTTGTAGATCCCCTGCTCTCACTGGAGGTGTCTGTTCTCAGGGAGCTGTAGCTGCTGTAAACTCTATTAAATATGTGTAAGGACAGGCAGGGAGCTGTAGCTGCTGTAAACTCTATTAAATATGTGTAAGGACAGGCAGGGAGCTGTAGCTGCTGTAAACTCTATTAAATATGTGTAAGGACAGGCAGGGAGCTGTAGCTGCTGTAAACTCTATTAAACATGTGTAAGGACAGGCATAACTAACGTGCCCTTTGATTTCATCCCTCCTTGCAGCTCAGCGTGCTGCCATCCTTTGGATTCCTCTTTGACATCGATGGGGTGCTGGTGCGAGGGAGGACCCCCATTCCTGCTGCCAGAACAGCCTTTCGCAAGCTGGTCAACTCCCAGGGACAGTTCCTGGTGCCCGTGGTCTTTGTCACCAACGCAGGGAACTGCCTGCGCCAGGAAAAGGCTGACCAGTTGTCTCACCTGCTGGGGGTTCCAGTGAGTCACCTAAATCCCATTTAGTTCATTAGCATCTTGAATGTGTCAGATGTATTATCTCCCATTAAGTGCTGCTCAATTCATCAGGTCTGCTTTTCCCTTAAGCCCCTGACACGCTTTGCTGAAAGTAAAAATTGCTGTGCAAAGCTAATGGCTTTGCCACTGGTAAAGGCACTGATTTTTCCATTTTTTCTTTGGAAAGATGGTAAGTAGTGATTCACTGGAGCATCTTTCCAGAATAATAGTCTTACTGGTTACCACCTGTCCTGTTGAAGGGGTGGGGATATGTAAACGAAAAGAAGGTGATAATCTGGTACAATTAAATCAGAGCTGCAGTTTAGAAAGGGCCCACAATTGGAACCAGCTCTGATTCTCCCTCCCTCTTTGCTTCCAAATTAATTTGGTGATTTTATAAAATCAGGAGAGGAAGGCTTGTTCATGTTGAATCCAGCTGGAAGCTGAAAGGGGTGTGTGTGATAATTTGTCAGTAAGCTATTTTTTTCTAGCATATTATCAATACATCATTTGTGAAAGGAGAAAATGCTGACTGTTGTGTAATTCCTGGAATCTGTCACATCTGTTAATTGAATCGATGTATAAGCAACTTCTCTGAAATACAACAGACTCCTTTTGTTTTTAAATCCCAAACAGATTTCCCAAGATCAAGTGATGATGTCACACAGTCCTCTGCGGATGTTCAAGCGTTATCATGAAAAATGTGTCCTGGTATCTGGACAAGGACCCCTTCTTGATATTGCTCAAGAGTATCTTTAAAAAAAGAGTTTAAAAAACCCAACAACTTTCTGTCCAAGTGTTTTCCTTAGTCACGTTCAGGGGATCTTATGGATGAAGTGAAAAATCAAATATTTGAACCCAACAAATGCAGTAATAAATAGTAATGATAGTTCCTAGTATGGTGCCAAATTTATGTTTTGAATGTGGTTTTATACCAAGTGCCCAAAGAACTTGAACTATATTGATATCATGGTGGTATCAGAATTCCAAACTGTAACTTAGTAACCTTAACTTTTGCAGAAGCTTTGCTCAGGCTTCCATTAAGTCCCTTCTGCACTTCTTCCTTTAGTGGGATTTTCATTAATGTTGGTTTAAGTAATAAGTTGTAAAAATGTATATACAATTTTTAAGCATAAGTTCTATTTGAAGTACAAAACTGAGAAAAAGGTATTGAAGGTATTGTCTCTTAGAAATGCATTTCTAAATTCAAAATTCATTAGGCTTGGCTAAGAGAGAAGTAGATGAGAGGACTGAAAACAAAACAGAAGAACTTTGGTCTCTCATTTATCAGCAGTGAGACCATCATCTTTTTTGCCTCACAGAAGGAAAATCTGTCTTTGGTGTTGCTTTCATTGCTCACTAATTTGCCAGCTGAATACCATTAAATGGTTAAGGTGGAATGAGCAGTCAGGAAAGCTTTCCCTGTGAGCGGCTGTGTGTCCTTAGCTGTGTGCCCCAGCCTTGGCTTCTGCCAGCCCATCACCATTGACACCCTGCGGGAGAAACGCCCTCTGCTCGATGCAGTTGACCATGACAGAAGACCCAATGTCCTGGTGAGTGAGATTTTTGTTTCAAACCTCTCTGTTTGCTCCTTGCATGACATCCTATAACAGGGATCAATATTTGACTACCAAGCTAATGCTGCTGTTCTTGTATTGTATTTTGGCTTTGCTTTTCTGCTTCCTTATTTGTTTTATTACACATTCTCAAGAACAACTCTTTTCTCTCAGTAGTAATTCTTTAACCCAGCCCTTGATTTTATAGCCTGCCTTTGTGGGAAAACTCACAATCTAATACAGATACCTAATGAAAAATCTGTCTTGGAAAGCTGATTAGCTTCCTCAGAAAGTGTGGAAGATAACACAAGCTTTTCCCTGAATACGTGATTGTGTTGGTATTGTTTCTAACCCATGAGGTTGCTTTGATTGCAAATGAATGCTTTGAAGAATAATTTTCCCTTTGCTGTTTATAGCACTGGTTAAGTGTCAGCAGTAGGTACAGTGGTTCCAGTTGAATTGTGCAGAATTTGGAGCAGAAGTGAATAGCTGGTGTGCTGTACGTGTTCAGGGCCAGCCTACAAAGTGGATTTCCCCCACGTGGATTGAGGACATCCTCCGTGGCTCACAGCACCCATGGCTCAGCTGTGGCACCTTTTGCTGGGCTCCTCACACGTGTGGGTGGGGAAGGTCAAGAACCTGTACAAGTGTTTGTCCCCACAGAGAGTAAATAATGAAGTGTAGACTCTTAATTGTTTAGCAAATATATTACGTGTTATACAGTGCGTTCTTTATTAGAAGTGTTAAGGAAAAACATCTCAAAAACTCTTTTTCAAATGTCCTGTTACTACTGGAGGCCTCTTACTCCTGTGCAAAAATAAACATCCATTCTTTTATACACAAGTAGCTAAAACAACTAATTAAACAAGTAATTTAAACAACTAACATTACAACACAAGCGATTTTAACAACTGGAGTTAAAATACCCGAGAAGTATCCCAGGAGAAGCAGGAGGCAGGTGCAGGTACAGCACAGTCACTGCTGTCCCTGTGCCAGAGATGTCACTTCAGAGAGGAAACACAAGTTTCTGAGTGAACTGACATCAGGTATATCCCAATATACAGTGCATTTCCTCTTGGAGTGGCAGGAGGCAGCTGTGGGAGTTGTGCTGGAATTTATTCTGTTAAAAATAGATGTTTCATCTTGTAAAAAACTTTCACTTTTTCTTATTGCAGTCCCCATCTGCTGTGGAGCTTCCCAAGATTGAGGGTCAGTTATCTTTATTTAACTTGCATCTATCCATTAATAAATGAAATATCTTTATTTTATTTTATTATCAGAAATTATTTCTAGATTGTTGGGCACTTTGAAAATTTGTCTGAGACAATCCTGAAATTTTCTTGTTAATGACATCTGTCATTCATTTGAAAGTATCATGTGTTGTAAAGCTGTTTTTTAATGTGTGCAGTTTTCAGCCACTGGGTTTTGAAGTTTGAAGGGTGTATGAGCTCTCCTTTCCTCTTCATCTGCCTTTAACAGGCTGTTGTTGTTGTCCTTTCATAAATGAGGAATGAGCTGATGTTCATTATTCATAAATAATTGGTCTTGTTCTTACAAGTAGTCAGGATGCAGCTGCAGTGTAAGAAGGATCTTGTGTACGCTCTCATCTCATGTGAACTACAGGAAAGTAGAAATTGGACCTTAGGATTTAAAAATATCCATGTCAGATTATTATTGGAGACCAAAGCAATTTTTAAAAACAACATCCAAATTTTGTTTGGAAATGGAACATGGAACATTTTTCTGAGATGAAGAATTCAACATTTCTGGTGTTGTATTTAAATACTGCATGTAAACTGGGAACTCATAAGTTATGGGAGACTTAAAAATACAATTTAGAAGTTAATATTGTAATTTCTGGAGAAACTTCGCCTGTAAAATAAAATTCCTAAAGCTGCAGATTTTGCAGTAGGGTCTTGTTGCTTCTGAGGTTTCTGTGACTGGGTGGGCATGTGATAAATGAAGCCCCTAAATGAATGTGAGTGTTTGATCAGTTCCTGGTTGTATTAAATGACTCGTTCAGTCTCTTTAGGCCGAGTTTTAGCCCCGGTGTCAGAGGCTCAGTGCTCTGCTAACAATTCCATGGCTGTTCTGTACCTGTGCTTCCCGCAGCTGTGGTGCTGTTTGGGGAGCCAGTCAGATGGGAAACCAGCCTGCAGCTGATCATCGACGTTCTGCTGACCAGTGGCTATCCTGGAAATCCCTACGGGCAGGAAAACTACCCTCACATTCCTGTGCTGGCCTGCAACATGGACCTGATGTGGGTGGCTGAGGCACAGTCCCCAAGGTAAGGGCTTTATTCATATAATTGGGATTTATTTGGGGCTTCCTCATTTTTCCAGTAGGATTCAGAGTCAGCACTTGAATACAGAATGCTTGACAGCTTGGCTTTGAATGCAACATCTTAATGCACTTTCAGCTAATGCTGCCTGGTTGCTGGCTGCATTTTTGCATCCAGGAAATCAGTTCTCAAGAGAAAAGCTGCTTTTAAGCTCTAAATCTTTTGTTTCCTCACTCTCAGAAAATGGAGAAAGAGAGGTTTTTTTTCCTGAGGGCCTCAGAGCCTCGTTTCAAAAGGCAAAAATGAAAAAAATTATCAAGGCCATTGTTTCATTTCATTAGGTCCCTCTTTGGCATTTCTCTTTTCCTGCTAGGGCAAAGAGCTGACCCTGCTGGTTGAAAGCAGTGAGTGGTTCTGAGCTGGGGACAATGCAGTGAGCTCTTTAAGGAACACAAGGAAAAACAAGTAGAACACACAGAACAAGGTGCCAGGACCTCTTAGAGCGGTTTTGTTTGATTTTTCTTTCAATAGAAGGTACTTCTTTAATAGGTTTGTTTCCCCTCCCTTCCCCTCAGTCTGTAATTTGAAATAGAAACTTGTTGCTGTGGCTTGGTTGCTGCCTCAGTCCTGGGTCAAAGTCCTGGGTCAAAGATCTGCTCAGATGCCAGTCTTTGGAAGCAGAGGCCATCTCCAATTAGCACATTGAAAAAGATATATGTGTGATGGCTTCAGGCTGCAGCAAGGCAGCCAGGATACTTCCAGTGAGCAATTTTAAAATTGGATAAATCCGTTGTGCCATCCCAGTAATGTGGGTTTATTGTGGTGTTCAGTTAATCAGCACTAAATTTTCAGTGAACCAGCTGCAGAAATGTTGCATGCTAAGTGGAATTTGATAGTTGCAGGACACAATTTATTCCTAAAAAATAATGAAATAAAAGAGCCTTGTTTGATGTTCTAAATCTGTGCTTAATGTAATTTGATTTGGTATCATACCTGTGAAGGTTTGGGCATGGAACATTCATGGTTTGGTTTTATATCTGTGTAGGTTTGTGCATGGAACATTCATGGTTTGTTTTTTTGTCTGTGTAGGTTTGGACGCAGAATGTTCATGGTTTGGATTTATATTTGTGTAGATTTGAGGATGGAAAGTTCATAGTTGGTTTTATATCTGTGTAGGTTTGAGCATGGAACGTTCCTGGTTTGATTTAATATCTGTGTAGGTTTGGGCACGGAACGTTCATGGTTTGTTTGGAAAACATTTACAAGAAGATCACTGGCAAAGACCTGAAGTACGAGGCGTTGATGGGCAAACCCAGCAGGCTGACATACCAGTATGCAGAGCACCTGATCCGGGCCCAGGCCCTGCAGAGGAGCTGGGAGCAGCCCATCCAAACCCTCTATGCTGTGGGGTAAGCTGTGCTGAGCCCCAGAGGCACAGCAGGAAATCCCAAACCCTCTATGCTGTGGGGTAAGCTGTGCTGAGCCCCAGAGGCACAGCAGGAAATCCCAAACCCTCTCTGCTGTGGGGTCAGGTGTGCTGAGCCTGACAAATACACCAGGAAATTACTCACAGTGTAAATGCCAGCCAAGAAAAACACACAACTCTTACCAGCTTGTTTCTCCTACCATTAAGACCATCTAACTTTCTTGGTGCTATGGTATATTTTTTGTGACATTTCTAATCTTAAAAATTGATGATGTTTTGCTCTTTTTATGTGTAATCTCTACAGAAGCACAAAAGGTGTTTTATATGCAACTAAGATTTCTCCTGATTTTTTTTTCCTGTAATAGGTGTGTAAATCTAACAAAAAGGGTTTGCCTGGGTATTTATTCTGTTAGGTTTAGTGGTGTAACACCAACTGCCTTTGAGCTAAGGACAGTTAGAGACTGCAGAGCTAGACTTTATCTCTGAGGTCATTTGGGTTGGTCATATGCTACTGCATGTGCTGCCATATCATAGAATCCTTTTCAGAGAAGATAAAGCTGCATTGTATTAAAGACTATTTCAGAATCTCCAAGATATTTGGCAATATAATAAGCTCATTCATGGGCTGCTCATACCTTGATTTTCTCTCCCTTTGCCCCAGTATGGAGAGTGATTCATTTTTATCCTGTCATGCTTCATGAAAACGGCGCAGTAAAATAGCTGAGGGGTTGGACTTCTCCCTGTCTGCCTGATTCCACATGAAGTGGTGTAAAGTACACAATGAAGTGTTGGATGGAAGCTGTAAGAACGCCTGTGACAGCTGCAGTGAGGTGCTGACAGGTTTCTCCTTGGCAGGGACAATCTGATGACGGACGTGTACGGCGCCAACCTGTACAACCGCTACCTGGAGGAGAGCTCCAGCACGGGCCCCCGGCCGCGCCTCCAGGCCAAGGCTTCTGCAGGCACAGCCCCTGCCCTGCTCTCTCAGGACCACCAGCCCGGCCTCAGCTGGGAGAAGGAGCTGGCATCTGCAGCTGCTGCCCACTGCAGGTCTGTGCTGGTCTGCACCGGGGTGTACAGCCCCCTGCCCAGCAGCGACAGCATCGCCGGCAACGTGTTCCACGGGCACCGGGATTTCAGCTTCGAGCCCGGCCTGGTGGAGCCAGACCACATTGTGCCAGATGTGGATGCTGCTGTAGACCTGGTCTTCCAGCTGGAGAACTTTGCGCCTCATTGAGGTGACAGGATTTCTTAAGGACCACTCAGTGCTGTGCTTTTCTTGGCCAAAACACACTGTGCTTTACAAGAGTGCCACAAACTGCTGCCTTCTAAATTTTTTAACCTCTCAGTTAATACAATCTTCTATTAGATATGCTTATCACTAGTATATGTAGGTACATGTGTGTGTTTGATTATATTAAATGTCAATAATGCTTTTTATAGTGCTTCTAAATATGTAATTTATGGCTGGAGTTGCCCTTTATTGTCTTCCTCTTTGTTATGTTAGGGACTCTAATAGCAATATTTCATAGTAACCTATTAATGTACTGGTACTTAAATCCCTCCATGGCAGTACCTCCTTTTGTTTGCTGGAAGATTAAGCTTTTAGGTGTTGAGTATCTTGAGGATACCAGAGTGTGCTGCTGGGGTCACTCAGTCCATTCCACGTGGGCTGTACAGAGCACAGCATGTATCAATGCCTGGCGTTCTGCAAGTGCTGAATGCTCCCTTCAATCAGAGTGGAGTTCAATCTCTTCCACTTTGGACTTGCTCTCATCTGAGCTGCTGCTGCCTTTCCTTGTGTCTGTTGTCCCATGTTCCTGGAGTTTTATTGCTCCTCTCTGCTATGTGAAGCCTTAACTGTGTTGGAACTCCATAGTCCTGGAAGGGAAGCAGCAGACTTGGTGCCCTCTGTGGCCTTTTTACTCTTGGCCTTTCTATATGCACTTTTTAAAAAATTTTCTTTTTTTTTTTTTCCTTTTTTTTTCTTTTTTAGGAATTTTGAACCTTGGAAAGTTTTAGCAGTTTTGTTTCATGTGTTTCTGTGAGTTGGGACGTTACACTGAATCAGTGACTACTGCTCAGCCAAAAAGTGCCTCCTAATTTACTTGAAGCCTCAAACCACTGTGGTAATTAACTGGCCTTTAGTGTAATATATTTCATCTCATTTCAATGTTATGTGTTGTTTGGTTCATGGATTTTTATAGCTGTTAGTTTAAAAAGAATAAGTAATTTATTTTTTGTTATTTTTGTAAAATACTTCTGAAGTTTTCATCCCAAAGATGCCTTGGAAAATATTTCTGTGTTATTTGTTATAACACATAAGCTTGTGACATAAGCTTGGAAAACATAACCCAATTAATTGTTTTAAAACCAAAGTCAACTTACACACAAAGATCAGTTCACATTAGGGACTAGTCAGGTTTTTAAGATTGGGGTTTTTTAGGTTTTTTTCCCCCCCCAATTAGAAATTGTACAAACAAAACCTGGGCGTTCATTTCTCCCAGGTTCCTGTCAGAATGACCTCCTGGCCAAATCCTTCCCTGCTCCTTATCCCAACAGCAACCCTGAGAGCTCCCAGCTGCTGTGCAGTCAGATTTTGTTGTTTCCTCTGCTTGCAGAGCACTGTAATCCCCTCTGCACTGCCAGGATTGTTGATTCATCTCTTGTAATGTTTCCTAAGTAGCTTGCGGTGCCTCGATGGATGCAGTGTGAGGGCACTACTTGAAACATTCCCTGCTTCTTCACTGGAAAAGTATTTACAGCAGCACATTCTTGCCTTTTTATTGGTACAATGAACAGATATCTACCTGATTCTTTAGCACTTTCCTGTAATACACCAAGTATTTGCAGAGAATGCCAAATACAAGTAAAGATTGTAATTTTGTAAGGTCAGGATGATTTAAAGTCACACTGTTTCAGTAGTAAAGCAGAGTTGCAAAACTCTAACTTTACCAGAATTGATGAAGCAAAGAATAAAAATGTTGGAAGTTGCTGAAGAACAGAAAATGTTCCGTTTGTTTCTTCTTTTTTTCTCAATAATGTGGACAAACACTTCAAAAGGCTCACGAAGGAACTGTATATGGACCTCTTAGATCTCATCCCTCATTAACATAAAATGTGTTTGTAGAAAGAGAAGACAGTCCCTTTTTCTGTCACATCACCAGCAAAATCTAAAACCCTCCAAGCCTCAGGGAATTCCAGATTCTCCAGCTCCACGGACTGACCTCCAGCTTGGTGAGTGGCAGACCCTCAAAAAGCCAAAATGCTGAAAAAACAGCCGATGAAGGAAGGAAAGGAAATTAGAACTAGTGACCTGGATAACACTACACGCAGAAGGCAGTTGCCAAAAGAGGTGGAAATCTCTTCCCATCAGGGTGAAGCTGGGATTTCAGGAGTTTCTCTGAAACTCAGTGGTGTGCTTGTTTGCCCTGTAACTTGTACAGAAACGGGGACCAACAGATATCACAGCCCACCTCACACAGCCTGTGTTAAACTCCTCTGTCTGGACAAGGATGAAGTCTTGGGTGATGAAATATATCCTGTTTTCAAGGCTGACAGAAACAGGCTGCACACTTACAAGTTTCAGGAAAGTGTTTCTGTGTCACTTCTGTGAGTAAAAGAGACAGTGCATATTCCAAATAGCACAGGTGGGTTTACTTTGTGTAAAGAGTGCTTTAATTTGTTTAATTCAGGCCACCTGGGGCTCAGCTGGTCTTAATTAAAACTTCTCCTCCTTGCATTGTGCTGGTTTTGTATGCCAAGCTCAGGATTCAGTGCTGGGATCATGCTAAAGATGCCTTACAGTTTAACACCCAGCAGGTGATTGATTTGTTTATTGGTTTATTTACTGACCTTCTCCTGAAGCAGAAGCAGCACCTGGTGTGCAGCTAAGAATCTCAGAATCGGATTTTCAATAGGATTTGGGATTGGTGTCTTGTTTTATGGAATTGTATCTGGGAAAATGCTTTCTGCTAGTTTAACAGCTAACTTCCTGCCCATAGAGGGAAAATATTCAGTGAACTTAAACTATAAAAAATACAGGTATTTTTTTGCAGGTACAAACTACATAATGAAAGGTCAGTTCACCGCAGCAAATGAAAAATGGTTATAGTGTGTGTAGAACTCTTGTACCCAAACTATTTTCACATTCTTAAGAGAGTTCCAGGGACAGTTCCCAGAAATGGGAAATAATTTCTAAGTGTTCATCACACACACTTACAACAAGCCATTAAAAGTTGGGTATTTTCCCCACACAGATTGAGAAACCCCGGTTTAATGTGTAGAGGATGAGAAAATGCAGGTCAGTCCCTGCCAGGAGCAGCAGATGTCACTCATGACACCTGCACTATTTCCTCCCACACTGCTTCCCTCCAGCACACCCAGGGCAGTCACAGCCAGCGTCTCACTAGTGAAAATGTGTCCCTAAAGAGAATTAAGTGACAAATCCAGCTGCCCCCAGCACTCTGAGGAGCCAGCTCTAGAGCCTGGCCATCGCACTGACAACTCCTCCTTTGACACCTGAGGCTGTTCCTGGAGCAGCAGACAATGCAAACCAAGAAATTCAATATTTGGCTCCTGTGGATCACAAGCCCCCATCTGCTGACGTTCAAATTAAAGAGCCGAGCAAAGAGAAAGGAGTGTTGCTTTGTTTAATTTACAGCACTTCAATCAAATCCAGGCTCTAAACATTCCCCTGGGGAGGTACAGCTGGAACTGCATTGTTCACACTTAATTGCAAGCACTGAAAAAGTTATCTGCACTTCTCCAACACTGAGCATTCCAGGTTTCATCCTTTCTCCCCCAGACAGCTCTGCTGGAGAGTTTGCTGAGTGGGAACAATTGAAAGTGCATGCATTTCTGGAGGTGATGGACGTTTGGAGGGTAAGAGGAAGTTAGTTCAGCACCATTTGTTTCATTAAGAGTACATTAGGTCACATCTTGTGTAAAAGTAGACCATACATCACTGTAGGACAGAATACATGATTTCTTAAAATTGATTTTGTTTCTGATCATATACCACAACACGGTACATGCATAAAATAACAACAAAAGGTATTAATTGCCAAATGTTTACTTTAATTAAACCTTTTTGAATGATACACAGTACAATGTATCCACTACTTTGCTAAAATTCACAACAAAAGCAGGTTTCATGTTTAAAAATACTTCTCATAATAAATTCATAAATAGATGAAGGTAAAGTATAAAAAATTACCGTAGTATGCAAGCTTGCTCCCTTGTCTCCTCATATTCCAAATCATTTAGTCAGTATTGAGATAAGAAAGTTTAAAAGCAAAGTAGTTACTGATGATTAGAAATGTACAGCCTGCATCTCTCGAAGAAACCTTGAAAAGCAACAGATTTGTCCTAGAAAATGCAGAACCATTTTAACACTGTTATCACCCAAACCCCTCAGATAATTTTGGAATGCAGTGAATGAATTCAATATGAATTAGAGATTTTTTTCCTTCCCCCCCAGAGGTGTGTGTGAGCCAGACTGGCTGGGATGCTCCCTTCTCTGGAGTTGAGGGGTTTTTACCTGTCAGATCTCAGCGAGTGAGGCACAGGAGAGGGAAAATCTGGCTGACAGCACAGAGCACATCTGCCTGTCAGAAATCTGAAACAGAAATCTTTAAAAACAGTTACAAAGAACTAAATTCACCTTCTGCTCAGTACCAGCCTGTATCTGTTTTCTGTCTGGCAGGCAGGACAGGGTCTGGTGTCCCCCACTGGCTTCCCCTGTTTTGGGAATGGTTTTTGTGTCTCACATCACCCCAACACAACTCTGTGGGGAATCCCTGATGCTGCACCACCAAACCCTATCAGCAAAGTTCTCCTCATCAATATTATCACTCTCCTAAGAAAGCATTTATTTTGTCAAGTATCAAACTACTTTTCACACTTTATCTATTTTAATATCATTTATAAAGGGAAAAATCTTACTTATGCACAGCATTGAACTAGGAAATGAACATGAAAAATGCAGAATAATCAAGATGCTCTGCCTTTCACATTAATGATTTTTTTTTTTTTCTCTGATAATTATTTCCCTTTAGTGCAAAACCACTTCCACACAAGTTTTGTGCTTCATTTGCAATGGTACCAAGATGCTTTTGAAGACACTGGGAGGCATCTGTCTGCAGCTTTCCTGTCTGTGTGAATTCAGCTCTTGGCTCACTGTTAAAAAATGTCTTCAAGTTTTCAAGACAAGTTTGCATGCCGTGTCCAAAGGACAATCTCCCAAACCCTTGTTTTCACATATGACAGTCCAGGCACCCAGAAGGAGCAAGAGCTCCACTTTTGGTCAAGTTCTTGGAAATCTATCACTATTAGCCAATAGGAGAGCTATCAGTGGTTTTAGCTGGGCTTCATTTGGATTTTCCCCTCTGAAAAAACCTGCTTGCCAGTACAGTGAGAGTAAGAAAATCATCAGGACTTCTCCTCTGTTCTCAAGTATTCTCATTTTTCTCAAATTTTGTTTTGCAAAGCAAACATTATTAGGTTTCTGGGCTGACATTTATGTGGTTTTATATTTACGTAATTATAAATATTTGTACAGGTTCCATCCGTGATGATGGACTGGATGAGAAACTGGAGATAAAATTAGCTTAAAATCAATACAAAGGGTAACAAAGGCTCCTGGGAAGCACATTCTGCTGATGACTTCATTTCAGTATCTCCCTCTGCATTCCACTCCCAAGTGCTACAAGGCAGAGACCAATGTCCCCTCCTGTGCTTTTGTAATATTTTTGCACACTTTGGCACTGCCAAAAAGGAATGATAAATACTAATGCAAATACATGATCAGCCAAGGGGATCTGCTTAAAAGCAATTACTGCACCATAGCCTTGTTAATGTTCAACTGGCAGTAAACAGATTTCTTGGCAAATGTTTATGCTGTGAACTCTGAGCAAGCACTTCTGAATTATTCACTTGCTGTACATCAGTGCCCATTTATACCCGGAGAGCTGGAACTCAGGTTTTTACCCGTAAATCACAGGTTTATTGCTCCTCACTCTCTCCACCCAGGTAGCCTTTTGGTTTCAATAGGATTAATGGAGTTAAACAACCCAATTCCTGAATGCCTGAATTCCAAGGCTGTGTGTGAGTCCCAGCTTTGATAAAGCCTTCAGCAGAACAGAGAAAAGCTCCACTTTTTCTGTTTATTTCTGGTCAAGAAGCTCCCAGCCTAGTGGGCAGTGAACAAAGGAAGGGTTTGGTAATCAAAATGAACTTTAACTACTGACAGCCCTAGTACCACCATCTGCTAACCTAAAAAATAAACCAGGTCTTCAGGTTTCTTCTGAAAAAAAAAAAAATTAAAAATAAACCAAGTCTTCTTCTATTTCTTTTGGTCAGTTAGGAGGGCAGGCAAACTTGTACTCCACTTGCTACACGACAGAAGAGCCAAGAGTTAAAAAACAAAACTGATTTAAAGCCATGGTTTTAGTTTTCTGCAGGAAACTGAAAACTGACTGGAATTGGTGCCTTCATTTAAAGTACAGCAAACAAATCACTGCTGCTGTATTGCACATTTTCTGACTGAACCAGACTGACCTGCAGACAGAGCCTCACCCTTCAAGCCTAGTTTAAGAGCTAAATCCAGGCAAATTGTAATGAAAAGTGTAGTGCCTGGTCTAATTCTACTTATTCACTAAACAAACCTCAAAATTAAGAAAATGGATCAACAGTTCCTCAGTTCTTCATCTACTGTAAGAACACAATCACTCACTGGCTGCACTGGAAGCAGGATTTATGTTCATTTTGCTTCTTGTTCCAGTTTAAGATGAGTTGCTATGTAAACTATGGATGTCAGTCTGAGAAGTAGCAATACTGTTCTTAAATGCACGTGGGTTTTCCTCAGCAGTCAGTAATTTGGCACTAATGCTGCAGGTAGTGGGGGCTGAGCTCATCTGGGGGTCCCTGCTCCAGCAGAACTGCAGGACCACGACCTGCAGATCCAAACTGCAACAGGAACTCAAATGTTTGCAAATATTCTGTACCTGAAGGACCTCACCAGCAGCAAAAGCAGCCACCAGCACTCCGTTTTGGCTTGGACTGTCTTCACAGTTTCTCCTGAGAGCAGAACATGGGGAATAAACCAACAACTCCAGGGTTTGGAAAATTCCCATTTTCATTCCCATTCCCAACTGCCTAACTGGGCATTTATTGCCTACTATCTTTGGAAGTAGGAATATCCTGGAAGACCATCCAAAACCACTACCAAGTACTGCAGCTCAGCCTGCCCTTCTGTAGAAAATACAGAATTGTGAAAACTACACTAGTTGAAAAATTTAAGGCCTTTTCATTCTCACAACTATAAAATTTGAAAACTAACCCCTTAGACAGAAGCAAACAGGCTACAAAGCACACATTACTCCTCAGTTATCAACCTCACAGTTTAAAAAACCAGAAAGAGCAGAGAATGCTTCGGTATTTGCTACAGGAAGATGAATAGGATTAAAATTGGTATCCATTAGCCCTTTCCTAAATCTCCCTAGTTTTCATGACACTGGGTATGGTGGATGACTGAACTGGTGCAGCCCTCATGGCAGAACAATTCAAGTCCTTTTTGACCTGGATTTGTCAAAGAGACAAGACATTCACTTCAAATGGTTCTTCTTGAAAGTGACTCCTTCCAATTATCATGATTGCAAAATTCCCTTGCCATACCTGAACACCTCTGCCTTATCTGCAGAGTTTAAAATATTGCTGCTCCTGCTCTCTTTCCAAATCCAGTTTTGTAAGGTGCCTGAGAGTGTAACTGCAGAGGAATCCATCAGCACCTCAGCTACATCTACAAGGGACTCTAAAGTGCTGCTTTTGGGTACAAAGCTGGGAGGGAATCACTCAAAAAGACACTGGTTTCTCACAACCAAGAAGTTGCACTCATGCAGTTCTCAGCTATTCTGAGGTCTTCTTTCCCATTATATGCCCATGCAGTATTTAAAGAGATGGTTTAAAAAACAAAACCAATTAAAGAATCAAATCCATTTATGCCACTTATGCACTCTGGTAATTTAACACCAAATGTCTGACCAGAATGAACCCTGTATTTGACCACTAGGCACATGGCAAGAGATCTTGGCTACAGTCACTTCAAGGTTTCTCCAGTTCCTGTTTCCAGTGGTGCAGGTTTGAGTTGTGGAATGAAATGATGAGACCTGAGGGCAAAATCTCAGTGATGCTTCAATCTGGATAAAGGAGCTATCACTGTGCAAACAACAGGCAAATGAAATGCATCTTCCCTCTCCTCAAGGCTGCTTTAAATCACCACCCTGTGACAGTGCTCAGGCTGGTTTTGCTTTCTGTTAAAACTTCAGATGATAACAAAACCTGAGAGAAGCTCCCCAGCCTGGGCCTGCTCCAACAGCAACTAGCAATCCACATGCCCTAGGACAGGTGACTGCTATTTGGTCCTGTAATCAACATCTTGGCTATTCTGGCCCTTGAAATACCATTATCAAAGACACTGACGCTTCCTGGTCACTGGTGGAGTGCTGTGGATTTGAAGAGATGCTGTCAAGATTGCCTATTCTAAAAGTGACCTCCTTTGCCACCAGTCTCCTACTAAATGCTCAGACCTTTAGGTCTGCATCAGTCTCTTTCCCAACCGAATGTCTTCCCACCCCAAAATACCAAGTTCAAAGTAGTTTCCTCCATTTTTGTAACTCGTATGAAGGATACAGAAAATAAAACCGTGGGGACAAATGTTGAGTACATTTTTCAGAGGGTTTGACTTTTAGGACCACCTCTCCAAAGTCCCTTTTTAAAAATAAGACACCAAAGCAAATAGGATTGTGTCTAACTTCTACAAAACTGCTGGTTTCACAGGAGGAGGAGGAGGAGGAGGAGGAGGAGAATATGGCTACCATGCTACTCAGCATTAGGGTGAAGCACCATCTAAATTCCAGTAAAGTTAGGGATATCAGCTAGCTCTCATCAGCAACCACACCCCCAGCCTTCCACAACGTCTTTGCTGTCAAGCTTGATGCTGTCAGTGTTCTTCTCACTGAACATGGGCCCTCCATGCCTCATCATCAGCTCTGTGGCCACCTTCACAAAGGCCTCCTCCACGTTGCTGGAGTCCTTCGCCGAGGTCTCTATGGCACAGATGATGTTGTCATAGTGCTCAGCCAGGCTCTGGGCTTCTTCCAGCTGAACCTCTCTAAGGTCACTTAGGTCAGACTTGTTTCCTGGAAGGAAAGGGAACAACAGAGGGATTTATAAGGGCTTGTTTGTGTCACAGGAAGTGGCAGGAGGGTCTCAGGTTGCCCAAGGAAGCTGAAGAATTTCCATTCTGTAGGTTTTAAAAATATGACTGAAAAGGCCCTGACCAACCTGACTCTGGCCTTGCTGTGAGCAGGAGGCTGGACTGGATAATCTCCCCAGCCCTTTCCAACCTGTATTTTTGTATTACCCATAAAGAACAGGAAAAGTAACTGAAGAGTGGTGTGTGTAGACCCTAACAGAATGGAACAGGCTAGAAATTGAAGTTAAACTAATTCTGTGAAAACAGCAGCTGTCTGCTGATTCCTAGGGAAATCTAGAATGGTACTGCTCTTGTATTAGCAGCTCTACAGGCCCCAAGAGCTGCATCTGAGTCCAAAACATTCAGGCTGGAAAGCAGAACGTCTAGCAAAGAACTGACAAACTCTGAGTGCCCGAAAGTCCTTCCAAAATTCCCCGTCTGCTCAAGTGGGTGTGTGTTCCAAGTCACCAAAACACATCAGCTTGCTGTGATGGAGCTTCCCTGGGCACCTAAATGGGATGGGAAGGGATGGGAAGGGATGGGAAGGGATGGGAAGGGAAGGTCCACAGCAGCTGTGCTTCAGAACTGGGAAATCCTGAGCATCCCAGTTCTCAACTAAATGAGATGCAAAGGATTCAAAGCTGTCTACTCCTTAACAGAAGTAAACCAAAACAAAACATCTCTGCTCCAGTGAATCCGCTCTTTTGGTAAAATTTCTGATCGGGTCTGTTGCACACACCTGAACTCCAAGCAAAACCAAAACCTGAGGCCATATTACACATGCACTGGCATTCCCAACTCACCAATCAGTAACTGCACGATGTTGGAGCCAGCATACTTCCTGACATCCTCGATCCAGCGAGGGATGGACAGGAAGGAGCCCCTCTTGCTGATGTCGTAGGCCAGGATGGCCCCGTTGGCGCTGCGGTAGTAACTCTGTGTGATGGTCCTGAACCGCTCCTGGCCCGCCGTGTCCCAGATCTGCAGCTGAGGGGACACAGCAGGGTCAGACACAGCACACTGGGACACACAGGGACACACCGTGACACCCTGAACAGCTCCTGGCCCGCCGTGTCCCAGATCTGCAGCTGAGGGGACACAGCGGGGTCAGACACAGCACACAGGGACACACAGGAGAACATGTGGGGAACTCAGGACTCCTGGACAACTGACCACTATGATTAAGCAGAAGCCATTTATTGTTTACCTGATACATTTATTTATAGGTTCTAACTCTCTGCACACGCTGATCACAGCTTTCCTGTTGGTGCCTTTGCTTGCCCATGAGTCCTGCGTGCACCTCTCAGAACGTGTGACTGCTTACAGCTTACAACTGCTTACAGGCGGCTCACAGCTCTCTGCTATCTCTTTCTTGTGGTCTTGGAATTCAGTTTCTTAGCTTCTTCTTTATTACTTTAGCACAGTTTATGTCCTAGTAACCTTGATGAATTCCAGAGGACCCTGAGAAGATTCTGGTAAGAACAGTTACAAGTGGGATGGCTGGTGCTCGCTGCAGTCTCAGTTGTTCAGATACAGCGACACACAGTGACACCCAGCACCAACCAAGGGACAGGGCTTGATCCAAGAGCCTTGATCCACATCTCCCGTATATGCAATGCATTCTAGCCCTGTGTTTATCCAGCCTTTTGTACGTGATCTAAGGATGAGAATATATGCTTGAGAACCTTGATATAAACATAATAACTACATATATATATGTGCATATATACATACACACACATATATATGTATGTGTTCTATGCTGAGAACTTGGCTGCTCAGAGTTTGTGCCTGCATCAGTTGGGACCCTGGTTTCCTGCCAGCAAGCTCCTTCTGTGGCAGGTTTTGGAACTCTCTGGTGTGCCCAGCCCTTTGTCACCCTTGGCAGCAGAACAGGGTGCCAGCCTGCAGCCAAGGTCACCTGGTGTGTCACTGACACTACAGTTGGGTTTTGGCCACCACACCATCGGTGGCTCTGCCAGTTCTGTGATGGGCAGGAACAAAGGGAGCAGGATGTGGTCACATAATCTGAGAGCACTGAGGCTGCTTTAGAAGGAAATATCAGACAATTAAAAGAATAAAGGTAAGAGTGTGTAAACAAAATGCCAGCAATCCTAGGTCTCAATGAAGTCAGTGAAGGATCTGTCAGTGTCATCACCTGTCCTTTCCTGGGTGGTAAAACACACATTACAACTGGGCAGGAAGGAGAAATGCTTGGTTTATACACTTTTTCCTAAATCCAGCAGCATAAGAATTATGAGTTTGGTATAACAGTTTGAGTTCCCAGTACTAGATGTTCCAGAGGAAGAAACCAAATAATTCAGAGTGGACAAACACAGTATGCTGCTCATAGGGAATTTCTTCGTAAATCCTGTTGTTTTATAGGTTGTCTAATGTCCTGGAACATGATGGCTTATATTCCAGGATCTTTTAATCTAAAGTAACTGTGGATGTCCTCATCCTCAGTATAAATCTCTAATCCTTTCTGAATCTTCCAAAGCTCTTGGCTTCAATATATAGTCACACAAAATGAAAGAACTTCCTTCCATAAATTTATGTTCTGTTGCACTTTCACTTCTCTATCCCCAGCTGGTAAATGGGAGACCACCGCTTGTCTTTTTGTGCCATTCCTTATATTCTGCATCTCTACTGAAACAGGACCTAAGCAAATACTACTGGGGTTTTGAATCCTCCCATAGGGTGGACCTTTTATTTATGGTTTCCCCTCTCTCTGAACCTCCTTATTCTGAAGCATTGTCAACAACTTAACATAGTGTGCCAGAGCTATTGTATACTAAATAATATGGAAGCATTTTTCTTTTTATTTCTTTTGCACAGTAGAGTTTTCTTAGTATCTTCTGCCTCTGCTGCATTTTTGAGCAGCAAATTTCCCTTTGGAAAAGGCTGTGCTGATAAGATCTCACTTCCTGTGCTAAGCAAGCATTCAGATCCAGCTGATATATGTACAGCTGAAAGGGAATCAATCCCAGCAAAAGGACTTCTCAGAGCAGGGGAAGGACTGTAATGGACTCAGAAAACCACAAAGCAATGATTATTAATGAAACAGATAATGGTTCAGAGCAGTCAGCAGCAATTAGCAGGGACCAGGAAACTGAGGGCAGGTTTATGGGTGATCTCTGCACTCAAGCCTCCCACCAGCCCTTTGTGGTTGTTAAATCTCAGTACCTGATTAGGTCAAGTGCTAGAAAAGGCTAATGATGATTACCCAACTCTTGGGAAGGGCCTGAGGGATTATGTGCACACAGACAAATTGGAAACATTTGAATTAAGAAATAAAATTGTTTTGGCTTACACTTTTCATGTGGTGTAAACAGAAGTGCAGAGTGACTGAGCTAAAGAACAACTCCCCCTCCAGTGTGGAAGCTTGTCTGCTCACATCGTCTGTAATTTGAATAATGTCTTCCAGCATTAAGAACTATAGACACAGCAAGGAGGCATTATGAAGCAGACCACTTAATGTAAAGCAAGTTGTATTTCTAAAGGAAAAACACAGCTAGTTTGCTTGACAGCATCTTTAGAAAATTCTAAGAAAAAATATTTCACGTAACATTAATCAGTCTGGCACACGGTTAAAAATATAATTTAAGTAATTACAAAAATACCAGTTCTAATCCTAAGTAAACACTATTTTCTCCAGCATATCTACAGAGATAAATTTCACAGAATTCTACTGAAAAAGAACCATGACAACTATAAAAAAATACCAATCACAACTGTAACTTTAACCAGCTCATGCACAGTAAAATCTTTATATAGTATTTCTGTTAAACTATATTTACGAGCATATAACTCTTGACAAAAAATAACAATTGAAAACTCTTTGGAAAAAGAAATGTAGTCTTAGTACTTCTCATTCCAAAGTCCCTCAGTTTAAGCTAGAACTTAAACACCAAAAGAACTGTACCAGCCACAGGTTACTAAAAAAGATATGCTTATGTATTCTTTTGTATTGTACAAGTGTATGATGTATATGACATAATAATTATTAATTTAAAATATTATTTATTAAAATAAATGAATGAAATGTAGTTAATAAAATTTAGTATTTTAGTAATAATTAATAATCCTAATAAGTAATGCTTAATTATTACTTAATAATAATACTTAATTACTTATTTCCTTGATTTAAGTGCTTCAGCTTTGTAGATAACATGATGGTAGTCATGTCTGTCACTCAGTAACCTTTTAAAGCTGTTCCTGATTTTGAAATTACTTTGGCAACTCCTTTGGTGTAAGAAAGACAGAGAGAAGTTGGGATTGCTGGAGAATTGTGCTGAATTCTTCTGAAACTACTAATTAGAAACACCTATGAAATCAGAGATTGGTGGCAGGGGACCACTGCTAGGAACAAAAGAGAACAGGGAATACATACTCATTTTTCTGAAGGAATATGGCAGAATAAAGGACACCTTTCTCACTGTTTCACTACTGAATACTCATTTACTCACAAATGTTAATTGTTTCACTACTGAATACTCATTTACTCACAAAAGCTGGTTTTTTTTGATCTGCTCTTAGCGTTGAACTTTTTGGACAGCCACACTCCTCATGGTGGGACATAAAGGACAGTGAGAGACCCCAGAAAAAATCTGGAACAAGGAATGTTTCAATTGGATGTAAGAGAAAAACAGAAGGTGGTAAAAAAGGTGGTAAAATTAAGGGGGGTTCCCTGGAAGACATTCTGGGGTGTCTGCTCAGGCTTACAGAAAGCAGATTTTGAACTACAGGGACAGACAAAATGCTGAAGATGGTGAGTGACAGGTTGGCCAAAGAGCACAGCAAATGACCATTATCAAACAGGCTAATGTGGCTGTTCTTGCATTGATCAACATATTTTTTATCAAAGGTTAATGCTTAACAGATGGCCCCAAGACACAGTAAATAATTTCTCCCTCCCTTACTTCCTACATAATTTATTAAGTACTTTCCTGATTCTTCTAAAGTATCACAGGAGTTCAGGTGTGCTTTTGCTTGTGGAGTAGCATAAATAATGACTGAGTGCATCCCCCAGCTGATACCTTCCTTAACAAAAATAGAAATGTCACTTTTGCAGCAAAATTCCATAAAATTTCCCAGCAGTGAAACTGGACCTAAAGACTGTGCTAAATGACTCTTAACCAACTGTGTCTGAATCCTGTCATCTCAAATGGCAAACAATAACATGCATTCCTGTAGGCTGGCAAATCACAACACTTGCTCCTAAAAACATTTACTGAAACAGCCTTGCAACTTAATCCAGGCAGTTTTTGCCAAAAGCAACATCTCTGTGGCAGTGTATTTCAATTTAAAGTGATATTCATAGACAGAGCAGGCAGGATAAACTGCTCCATTCAAATGTTTCCCTACACAATTTTCAGAGAATGAGGAATCCCTCTTTTTTTGTGAACACAGTATTCCCATTTGCTACAGGTTATCAGTGCCAAAGGAGTTGACACAGAGCTACATTTTCCTCTGGATATCAAAGAATATTGCTTCCAATAGCTCTGCTTTTGTCTGTGCAGCAAAGTCATTAAATCCCCAGTCAGGAGACAGGACACTTAACAAGACACAATTTTGTATTACCAGCAATTTGGCCAGATCATGACACAAAATAAATTTTGGGCCATTCTGAAAGGAATAAAGCTCCCAGCCATGAGGCCTGAATCAAAGCCAATAATCTTGATAACATGTGGGCTGAAAAAGCCTGTAAATGAAAAAGTGCAATGGTACTTCTTCATTTAAATACTTCTTCAAATAAAGAAGTATTTGTTGTAAAAGGAATGTGTTTTCAACTGTTCTTCTCTCTTGCTACTTTCTGAAAGTTATACTGAGGGAGAAGAACTATGGCATAGAGGAAAAAATACTTTATTCAAAACACTATGAAATGACAGCATAAAGTAGGCATTAAAGACAATTAACTAGCTCACAGAAGGTAATTAATCAAAAGAAAAAGACTTTTGTTATTACTAACCATGATTTATGGACTTGGACTTAGGAATGTCCTTGCCTATCATTATGTAAAATCTTGGTTCCAGCATTTTATAAATATCTTTTCTTACAGTGACATAACAGTTATAAAACATTTTTGTTCTGTTTGCCAGTTTTTTTCTATCACTCAAAGAACGAGTAATTATTTTATCAATAGGACTCTAATCACTATGCATTAAGTGATTAACACCACTTTTGAGTGATTACCAAGACCAACTTTCAGGCACTAGAGTCTGCACTCTAGGATTCAGCCAGCCAGGCAGGGTGGTTTTTAGAGAAAGCAGTATGCCACAATTTCAAACAGCATGTACTGGAACATTTCTTTAAATGAAGACAGCCTGCAGACATTTCACAAAGCTCATCTCTTTCTAATGAAGTTTAGTCAGCTCCAGCAGTGTGTGGAACTCCACGTGAGACACTTGAAAGAACACAGCTGCAAGGTGCAAGGAAAGCCTCAAGTTTCATAAATAATTAAAAAAAAAAAAGTTATTTGCAGCACCTTAACCTTCAGTATTCCAACAAGCATCACTTCCCTTATCCCAAAAAAAGAAAAAAAAAACCCACCACATCAAAAGAAAGTGAGACCTAAAATCCTTGGGTTCTAAATGTTTCAGAGATATTATGTAACTGTGATGGGAACATCTGAAGTTTGAAACAGAAAGGGGCACATTTAACCTTAAATTATTTGTTTCAATATCAAAATAAGTGTTGTTGGGTTGCAATATTACCCTTAGCCAGACTAAAAATTAAGTTCAGGCCACTGGGGAGGTGGAACAAGTTTTTGTAGACACTTTGTTTTGAAGGAATTTCTAAAGATGAGCCTCTAAAACATTACAAAATTTTCTCATTCCTGCACCATTTGCTAAATAGAAAACAATACTGTCCTGGGTAGCAAAAACCCCTAAGGAAATCAAAGCAGCAATTACCTGGCCTGCTTTTGTGAGGCAAGAAGTGCAAGCAGAGTGTGCAAGGGAGCCCAAAAAAGTGCAAGGAAATGCTTCTTTATTTCCTGTTTCCAAGAGCACTCTGAGGAAACCTAACCCAGGTTAGATGGGCTGCTCTGAAATCTCAATCCAACTGGAAAGTCTGATTTAAATCTCACACACAGCCCACACCTTAACTGAAACAAAAGAAAACCCTCCAAGCAAATGCTTTCATATTCAGGCTGTGTCCCTGACCCAGCAGCTGACAAAAGTATCTGTAAGGTCAACCAGCAAGTGTTGGATTAATTTCCCTAAAGTAATACTTAAAATACTCTCCTTCAATATCTGCATTCCTCATTTTTTTTCCCGAGTGGAAGTACAGAACAGCCCAAAGAAAAAGAAAGCTTCAAGACCTTGCTCTTTCTTCCTTGTTTTTTTGTAAAACACTTGGAAATAACACCCAGGTTTTGTTACAGCCAGGCTACCAATCCTGGAATACCCAGGCGTAAGCAGTGACAATATGAAAAAGCACACCTGGGAACTCCGGCTGATTTCCTGGGGCACTCCTAAAGTCCCTGGCACCAGGAACAGACACATTTGTCACTTTCTATGAGCCCGGCATTTAAACAGAGGCAGCTTTCTACCTCAGAGGAGGAGCCCCACTCCTCACCTGCCAGAAAGCGTGGGAGAGGCACCCACAGCTCAAACAGAAAACCTCAGTTTGCTCTTCAGCTACTCAGCCAGACGTTGACAGGGAAAGGTGTGACACTAACAAGGAAATAAACACTGCTGCAGGGCATGAAACTGCTAATCCCTCTCTTTTCCTATAAAAATGCCAGCCTTCATTTCTGTTCTCTGCAACTTTCTCACCTTAATACTCACCAAAGTTAATTTACAAGAAAAAAACAACAGAGGACTTTGACATCTACTTTGGTAAACACAGGCCAAAACTTAACTGCATCGCTGTATTTGTGTGTCACCAAAAGCTTTACAATTCCATCATCCTCCGGCAGGCAGGGACTGAATTAAACGCTTTTTAGTCTACCTGGGGGTAAGGATAGCTGCAGGACCCCATTCTGGAGGGGCTGGTGAAGGGACTGGTCCCGGTTTAAAGCATCTACTATAAACCCTAGATGCTTTCAACATTTTCTCCGCACTGTTTACTTGTACTCCTGTGCTCAGAGGGTGAGAACAGTTGCAGGGAATCTGTGCCACAGAGAATCTGAGGATAGATCCACGGGGTACATGTCCTGGGCTCTTTCTAACCCTAGCAACCGGCTGATTTCCCCCAGCAAAAAAAAAAAAAAAACCAAAACAAAACAAAAAACCCCAAAAAACCCAACTATGTCAAATTTAGAGTTTATTGGTTCCCTAAAGAAGAACCGTGAAAACGGCACTTCCTGTGACACCCTGTAAGCAGTGTCTTAAGATAATAGCATGCCTAATTTAAGAACCTTCTCTCAATCTGCCAGTTCCACATCCCTTTCTGGAAACACGGCAGTCCAGCTGAGCTTTCTTCTGCCTTGTAAACACAGCGCGGCCAGGCAGAAGCCTGAGCGGAGAGGGGCGCAGCTGCGGCTGCCGCAGCGCGGGCTGAGCGAGGGCTCTCCCCGGCCTTTGGGCGGAACCGGCCCGGCCCGGCCCGGCTCTGGCCCGGCCCGGCCCGCTCGGGCAGCCGGGAACCCGGCCCGGGGCCTGGCCGCGGGCACGGCCCGGAGCGAGCCCCGCGGGGCCCAGCTCCGCTCACCTTCACCCGCTTGCCCTGGATCTCCAGGCTCTTCATGGTGAAGTCCACGCCGATGGTGCTGCCCTGGCGCTCGGAGAAGGCCCCGGTCTTGAAGCGCTGCACCAGGCAGGTCTTGCCCACGCTGGCGTCGCCGATCAGCACCAGCTTGAAGAGGAAGTCGTAGCTCTCTTCGGGGTCGGGGACGGCGCCCGGCGCGGCCACTCCGGGCATGGCGGGGCGCGCTGCGGCCGCGGCCCAGGGCAGCCGGCTCTG